TCGAAGAAAGGCCGAGAATTAATTCACACACCTAATATCATAAGGATAACGAAGGTCACAAGGAGAAGGTCAAATTTCACGAGGGTTAAGCTTCACGAGGGTCACAAGGAGATGATCAAATTTCACGGGGATCACAAGGGAATGATTAAATTTCACAAAGGTTGAATGTTACAATGGTCAAACTTCGCGAGGGTCACTAAAGAATGGTCAAACTTCACGAAGGTCAAACATCACGAGGATCACGAGGGTGACAAGAGGATAGTCAAATTTCACGAGGGTCACAGGGGGAAGTCAAATTTCACGAGGGTCACGAGAAGATGGTCAAATTTCACGAGGGTCAAACATCATGTTGGGCACGAAGGTTAAAAGGGGAAGAACACATTTCAGGAGAGTCAACGTTACGAGTTCATGAGGGTCACAAGGGAATGGTCAAATTTTACGAGGGCCACGACGGTCACAAGGGGAGGGTCAAATTTCGCGAGGGTCAAATTTCACGAGGGTCACAAGGAGATGATCAAATGTCCCGAGGATCAGACATCACGAAAGTCACAAGGGAATGATTAAAATGCCCAAAGGTTGAATATTGCAATGGTCAAACTTCACGAGGGTTAAACATCACACGGATCACAAGCGGAAAGTCAAATTTGATGAGGTCTCGAGGGTCACAAGGAGATGGCTAAATCGCCGGGTTCAAACATCACGCGAGTCACGAAGGTCGCAAGGGGAAGACCACGTTTCACGACGGTCCCAAGGGAATGGTCAAATTTCACCAGGGTCACGAATGTCACAACGGAACGATCACATTTCACAAGCAAGTAAATGCTTAATTGTTTGTAAGGATATTTTCCCGGGTTGTTCACCCAGGAAAAATCCAAACTAATTTTTGGCCGTCTCTATCGCTCAATAGTCGGGCACCAGCCGAACCTTCACGGGAAGTTCGACGGAAACCGGCCTCTGAGGCAAACTCGTCTACACAGAGGACTTCTGGCTGGACAATGGATTGCCTAGCTAACATCAGCGTGATACGGTAGAGTGGGCGAGGTCCACCAGGAGTATTACCACCACATCCTCACGAGCCTTTGCAAGCCGTGTATTATAC